TTTGTCATTTGGGGAAGCAAAATCATCTCATTTCAATATACTTATTTACTAATAGTGAGTACCCTAAATGAGTCATTTGATTTCTAAGTGAACTGTTTTAATATCTTGTACAAAAAAAGGATAAAAAGGGAAGAATCATTTTAAAAAAATCACACACATAAAATGATTACATTTTAGAGAAGCTTCTTTCTGGGTCCTTGAAAACTGGAAACTGCCAATCATATATATGCCGGGGGTGGGGGGATGGTAACTGTGAATATGCCAGTTCTGCTGGTTGGTTTTTGTCAACCTGACAGACCTAGGTACCTGGAAAGAAGGAATCTTCATTGAGGAAAATGCCTCCGTAAGACTGGCCTGTTGGCAAGTCTGTGGGGTATTGTCTTGATTAATGATGATATGGGAGGTACCAGATCATTTTGGGTGAGACAACCCCTGGGTAGGTGATCCTGGGTTGTATAAAAAACAGGGCTGAACAGACCATTAGGAGTAAACCAGTAAGCAGTGTTCCTCTACAGCCTCTGTATCAGTTTTTGTCTCCAGGTTCCTGCCTTGAGTTTCTGCCCTGACTTCCTTTCAAAATGTCCTACAACTGTAAGCTGCAATAAACCCTTTCCTTCCCAAGTTGGTTTTGGTCGTGGCCTTTATCACAGTGGTAAATCCTAACTAAGACGCCAACTCTTCTTTTCTATAACATATACTGGTGTTTGCATTTGGCAGGTGTTATAATGTCAGCCAGACTGTTTTCATGTTAATAGTTTCTCTGGTATATCAGGGGCCTCTGGTGGCCACACTTAGCTTTGCAGTCTGTGGGCTAGACAGGTTAACTCACTCTCCCCAAAACTCCCCAGCTCATACTCCCTAGGGTGGCTACTGTTCAAATTGGGGGTGTTTCCCAAATGTGTTGGGAGTAGGAAGCAAACACAAGCACTGAGATGTGTACAGGCCCAGGGCCCTTTTTCATACTTTCAAGATTCTCTAAGTAGTAATCGTGCTGCCATGCTGTCACAGTGACAGCACTGTGAATGTAAAGCAGATGGCTGGAGCTTCAGAGTCTTCAGGCTCTATAGCAGTGAAAGACAGATATGTGGCTGCAAAGGTTGGTCTGCCTTTTGAGTTCAGGCTCAGGTCATCACTACTGTCAGCTGAAGAGCTTTGCTCCCTGTAAACCAGTGTGGGCATACTTAACCCTATATATTTTCTGTCTGAGCTGAGCCTACTGCTATATGCACTTCCTCGTTCTTAGTAAATCTTTTTCTTCTTCCTCATCTCTTGCTACTTTCTTTTTTTGTCCATGGTATTCTTCTTTACCCCTCCCTTTTATTTAACTTTTTTTCTCCTCTATTTCCCTTTTACTTGCCTTTACCTGCTGGGTAAACTATTCCTAAGACCATATTGTCAAGTAAATTAAGCATCCCAGCATAAAACTAGAAAGATTTATAATGATTATAGAACTTCAACCTCAAAATATATGAATTGTTTTAAATTTCAACATGATGTCACTTTCCAGTGTTTCAGTCTTCTAATCTGTTCTCTTTTGTTCCTTTATCACCAATTGCTATTCCATCAGCATCACACTTGTGCTTAATAAATCCTACTTCTTTTTAAAAATTACCAGAGCCCTGAGAAGTATGGGGATGTATCTCCAGTTTTGCACTTCTGGTTTTTTTTCTTTATATAACTGCAAAACTCCTTGCAGCCATCAGATATTACAATTAACACGTGTGACAGTCATCAGAGCAACAGGAAACCTAGCTAAATAATAAGATGGAGCTGTATTTCCCATACAACTTCTCTTAACTCCAAAACCAATGTACACTGTTGAGTACCACCAACAACTATATATCATTTTGTTAGATGAAACAGAAGCAGTCCTGTTCTTCAGAATTTCTTTACTAAAGAAAGTTTTCATACCAAAAAGATCTGTATCTTGGGCCAGTAAAATGTTCAGTGGGCAAAGGTGCTTGACAACAAGTCTGACAACCTGCGTTCAATCCTAGGACCCATGCAACAGGAGAAGAGCACTCCAGCAAGTTGTCCTCTGACCTCCATATGTGCCTGTGTGTGTGTGTGTGTGTGTGTGTGTGTGTGTGTGTGTGTGTGTGTACATGCACACCAATAAAATAAATACATGTAACTTTAAAAATCTGTATCTCCCAAATCACTAAATATCGGGTACTCAGGAAATCATCATTAAAATTTCCCCTCTCATATTCTTCTTATAACAGACCATAGATATAAACTTCAACAAAATAATTTATCAAGTTTCTGAGAGATTCATTATACTTTCATCTTACCTCAGTATACTGGAGAATGTCAGAGACGGCGTTATAAACTGCCACTGGGCCCTATGGTAACACCACTCAAAGGAGCTGGCTCTCATATCTGTACCCCAAGAAGAGGGTTGTGATTTGAAGGTATCTCAACTATTCACTGCTGTGGGATGGTCTGTATGTCAAATCTGTTGCTCTCATTGGTCAATAAATAAAACACTGATTGGCCAGTGGCCAGGCAGGAAGTATAGGCGGGACTAACGGAGAGGAGAACTGAGAGAACAGAAAGGTGGGAGGAGTCACTTGCCAGCCACCGCCATAACAAGCAGCATATGAAGATGCTGGTAAGCCACGAGCCACATGGCAAGGTATAGATTTATGAAAATGGATTAATTTAAGCTATAAGAACAGTTAGCAAGAAGCCTGCCACGGTCATACAGTTTGTAAGCAATATAAGTCTCTGTGTTTACTTGGTTGGGTCTGAGCGGCTGTGGGACTGGCGGGTGACAAAGATTTGTCCTGACTGTGGGCAAGGCAGGAAAACTGTAGCTACAATTCACAGCATCTCTAAGAAAGCCTTTGTCTACTAAAGATCCCGGTGAACAGAAGAAAATCTTAACAGCAGACTTTAAATTGACTATCCCAACAGAAATAGGATCAAAACTATACACAGACACCCATTTATAGCGGGACTAAAGGAAAGGAATCTAGAAGGCTAACAAGTGAATATTCATCAAATTCAATCCATTATGAAAGAGCAAGCACACAGCATCAATAAATATAAAAAATAAACCATACTGAGTAGTCTTCTCTCAAGACCTAAGTGCAATTGGTTCCAAGACAAGATTCTCATCCACCCTCAATACCCAAACTTCAAAATGTCCAAGTCCCTATACTTTAAATCATAACCAGAGTTATAATACCCAATAATATGTAAGCCGTATATATTTTTTAAAATTCTTTTTTAAAAAACAATGGCAACAGCTGGAGAGATGGCTCAGTGGTTATAAGCACATGTTACTCTTCCATGGGACCCAAATTCAGTTCTCAGCACCCACATCAGGTGGCTCAAAACCACTTATAACTCCAACTCCAGGAGACCTGACCTCCACAGGCACCTGCACTCATGTGCACACATCTCCACACAACCACAAACAAGTATATGTAATGAAAATAAAAATAAAATCTTTCAAAAAAAAAAAACTAATGCAAAAAAATCTGTACATGTTCATTACAGATGTAGGATTAACTATACTTCTGATCTATAGATGGAAAACTCTATAGATATGGAACCCACAAATATAAAGGTAGACTCTACATACAAATGTAAAAATCAAAGAAAATATAGTAATGTGACTTTCTTACTTTCCTATCTGGAAATAAGAGCTTCTTGGTAAAACAAAATGGACTTAACACTGAACACGAAATACCCATAATATCAACTGTTTTCATGAAGGGTAAGATTTTCTTCTTTAATTATACTTATCTAGTAAAGTTGCTATGATCTAGTTTCTAAGTCATGACACTTCAACCTTGCATGATAAACATATGCAGAAGCATTAACAGGCTGCACATTCTAGAGCTTTCACTTTCAGACAATTCTAAAGAGAGTGCTCTTTGATAGTGAATATATGCAATTTTTTCCTCTTACACTATAGTGCAATTGCTTCCCACTTCGAAACTATAGCAGGAGTTATCATCTCTCACTTGCTTTCTAAGTGCTATGGCCAGCATGGAGATGGGGTGGGGGTGGGGCAAAGAACATCTGTTATGGACTTACTCAAGAGAATCAGATCTTTGCTCACTGCCAAGAAAAAAAATCATGGCTAGTCAGGCATGGCATATACAGCATGAGAAATGGCATTCAGTATTTGGTCCTGGGTCTAGGAAATCATTTCTATTAAACGTCCCCAAAATGCAGGAGCTGAAACCTTCTCAAGTGTTAAGCATACCAGATTAAAAAATCATAGCAGTATATGGATGGTACTTATAATTTTACATATAAATTCCAGGGAAACTATACATGTTTATGAGATACACTAATGCTGATAGTGTTTCATCTAGATCCTCAAAGGAGGAGCGAAGCAACCAATGTTCTCACGGTAATCTATTATCAAACTATCCAATTGAGTACAAACAGGCCATATTTCTAGTCTAAAAAAGACAGATATGCAAATCTTGTCAGAGTTGGCCCACAAAGTCAACTGTCTTGTATAATTAATAAAAAAGGTGGCCAGTAGGGTCAAGCAGTCCAGATTGCAAACTAGCAATTTTAATTTTTAATCATTCATAAAGGAAAACAAATAAATGAGAAAGTAAACAATACTCCACAAGGGCTCAAATCCAACTAGATCAGAATGCCTTGATATAAAAATGAACATAAAAATAAATGTATTTAATCCCAGCACTCAGGAGGCAGAGTCAAGCGGATCTCTGTGAGTTCAAGGCCAGCCTAGTCTACAAAGTGAGATCCAGAACAGGCACCAAAACCACACAGAGAAATCCTGTCTCAAAAAAACAAAAAAAAAGTATATGGAAAATAGCGATTTAAATTTATTTCAATATTACAAAAGATTGTCGTTATTTTATATGGTTATCTTTGTCAAATACCTTAGCAGATCTGTTTTACAAAAAGAACAAAACAGTATAGATATGAAGATACTGACGCGCGCGCGCGCGCGCGCACACACACACACACACACACACACACACACAGACGCCTCTCCTTACCTTTGTTTGCCTTTTGTTGGCTTCTCTTCTGGCTTCTCTTTCTTTTAGTCGTCTTTCCTACAGGAAGAGAAGGTAAATTAGAAGCACATAAATTTCTAGATATTGTATGTTAAGCAGCAATACACTCTTCAGTTTTACTTTGTAAAGCACACTAAACGAAATACTTCATATTTATTTTTCAATAAATGTTTACATAATACCTATGATAGGACGGGCCTAACAATTCTTAATGAGTAAATATAGGTCGGATCTGGTATCATACATCAATTCCATCATTACATACTACACAATTTTTAGTTATGTACACTTTCTTGCTCAACTAAAAGGAAAATAATAGAACCATGCATTTAGTAATATATATTATATACAGGTTGTAAGTACAATATCTGATACATGACTGGTACACAATCAATGTCATCTTCTAGAATAAAAGAAAAGAAAAATACACTCATGATTGTTTCTCTTGTCCTCAGTGTGAAACAGAATTTACAAAACATAAAAAATCCTCACCTTTGGTTCTTATGAATGATATTCATTCAGAAGCAACCAAAATTCACTCTTATGAAACATATTTTATTAAACTGTTTTATAATTTCACCATTAGTTTTCCACTGATTACAAAATAGGTAAAAATGGGAAAGAAAAAACATATACAGTATTAAAGTTCAAAACAAAATGATATGATTCCGCTAAAGTAAAAAAGAATGTCATTTTAAATTCACAAAAGAAGCACAATCTCCTCCAAAAACCAAAAAGTCTATTCTCAATCCAAAATTTGTAGGTAATAACTTGTAGGGTTTTTTTTTTCCTTTTAATTTGGATAAATGGCTAAGTCAGCGTAAAAAATACAGTTTTCTTCTCATATAGTAAGGCAAAAATCCAAACCTGATTCACTAATTGATGAACTCCACTGGCAATGGGACAGTGAACAAGGCTCTGTGCTGGGTACTTTTTCCTGCTTTATCCATACATGACTTTCTTTGAGTTTAAAAAAAAACAAAACTCTTAATCCATAGTCTGCTAATGGATAATGGAACTCCATATATTCCTTGACCAGGCTTATAGAATTCTTTCCGATAAAGAGAAACAAAAGTGCTAAGGTCTAAATGGATACTAAGTACTAATTAATGCCAAAAGGGAGTCCATGACGCTTTTAGATGCAGTTTAAATAGCTTCTAATTGCACAGCAGATGAAATCTACTAGAAAACAAAAACCCAGAAAACTAGATTCGAAGGGAAACTAATAAAATCTCAAATTCACTTGGCTACTAGGTATGTGTCATATCTCTAATGCCAATCATTGCATTACTGTTTCTGCGATTAATTATTTTTCTTCCCTGACACACACACACACAACTAGCAGGATCACTATAATTATAAAAGAATATTCTAGATAGTTTGGAAGTTCTAGAAATCAAAGTCAAAGGAACAAAGAGGAAAAATGAAGAAATAAAAACTCAGGAAGATTTTGATTTGCATATTATCACAAGCTCATAGTTACAAACAGACTGATCTCAACGATGGTTTTTTATGTGCCAAGTCTACAGAGTTTTCCTGTGTGCTAATGAAAACACACACACACACACACACACACACACACACACAGAGAGAGAGAGAGAGAGAGAGAGAGAGAGAGAGAGAGAGAGAGAGAGAGAGAGAGAGAGAGAGCTGTCACTGACTTGCTCCCCTAGTGGGAATACAAAAAATATCAATGTTTTCTAAGGGTTTGGAGAGGGAAAAGAAAGGAAAGATACAGCTTCTAAACAACTTTATACCAAAACCTTTAATACAGTTGGTACCAGTTACCAATTTTCTTTGACCAGCAGCAGACTAACAGATGACAGAGTAAAGCAAAGTAATATTATTAAAGAAAAAATTTAAGTAATTCATGCTATTTTGCCTGTTTGAGAGCTCTTAGCTTGCAGATGTTATCTGTAATTTTGTCTTTTTTTTCTTTCTCCCTAAATAACAGGACAATTTAACCTTATTATCTACCCAAAAGTATTCCTAACCTAGAGACTAACATTAAAGTAACAATATACTTTATATTATTTAATAATAATCAAAATGGTTTAAGTTTTTTCTGCTTAACTTAATCTTAAACCTATAGCTACATCTGGCATTCAATAACTATAGAGTGAACAAAAAACTGTATTGCATTTCCACAAAAATTTTATCTGTTTGTACATTACTATTATTGTTACTTTCTTGCTAAAAGTAATAGCTCTAAATTATCACAATGTGCTAGGCAATTTGCATATGTCCCTTTTAAATAGTGTTTCAGAACTTATGAGATAAATCCCCTCCCGATTTTATAGGTTAAAAGATGGGCAATCAACATAATTAGGTTACTTGATTAAAGGCATAAACATAGTGAGCCATGAGCCTAGGACTCTCCTGTATTTGTGAAACCCAATGTCATTCCAGCACATTACTATGCTCCACACTCCTCCATTATTTTCCTTGTAGGGTCATACACTGTGTCTTCTCTTATCGATATGTACAAATGGTACTGTTTTATTAATAATCAAGTCTTTTCATTTTAATGTTATTTTCTCCTGACAATATTTTATGTACTTAATTTCTGTCAGGCTCTTTGTGCAAAAGAAAAAAATAATTTACAATTATAATCATACAAATTTTTATTATAATTATTTAATAACTTGCCTTGTCCTAACACCTAAGACTATCTGAAAATGGACCAAATAGTGGTGGTACACACCTTTAATCCCAGCACTTGGGAAGCAGAGGCAGGTAGATCTCTGAGTTCAAGGCCAGTCTGGTCTACAGAGCAAGTTCCAGGACAGCCAGGACTATACAGAAAAACCCAGCCTTAAAAAAAAAAAAAAAAAACACCTGAAAATAGAACTTCAAAGTTACAAACATATTGATGTGTTTGCATCAGAAAAACCCATTCATATGAACCAAGGCTGTATTATTGGGCTTTTGAACAAGCTATATTAGCCATAACAAAAAAATACATACTGTCACCAAATCTCAAAACTATTCCACTACTGTTACTAGATGATAATCTATTTTATTAATATTTAGTTTACTTTTAATTATATGTATATGAATGTGTTGGGATGGGGGGTAGGTGCACATGTTAGTTATGGTTCCTACAGAACCCAGAAGATCTCTAATCCCTGGAGTTAAAGATGATTGTGCATCATCTGATAGGAGCCACTGGAAACAAAACTCAGGTCCTCTACAAGAGCAGTATGTGTTCTTAACTGCTGAACCATCTTTCCAACCTCTAAATGATATTTAAAGGTCAGGTTGGGAACACAAAAGTACTTACTGTACAAGCTTTGTGACCTGAGCTCAATTCCCAGAACACACATAAAGGTGAAAGGATAGAACCTATTCCACAAAGTTGTTCTCTGAGCTCAACAAATGTGCCATGGAGTATGTGCTCTCCCCCACATAATGTGCTCGTGCATGCACACACAGACACAGATAATACTAATAATTGAAAAAAAAAAGTTCAGGCTTGTAAGCTATTAGAATTCAAAGTACATGCAAACCCAATATCTCCTTTGACATTTTCTTCTGCTGACATCATACAGATAAGAGAGATCCAAAGAAATGGAACTGAGGTCATATGACCAAGACATGAAAGCATGTGTGTGGAGGGGGAGGGGTATGTATTAAAGAACAACTATCTTTCAATATCTGGGAAAAACAATTTAAAATAAATCATTAGAAAACTTCTCTATCCTTCATATCACTCACATCTTGCTATTATCCTCTCTGGACTCCTCTATCATAAAAAGCTATTAGCAGTCTAGAAGGAGGAAATGGCCTTCAAACAGGAAGTAGAACTACAGTAATCCAGAAACTGGAAATGGGCACAAGAAGTACCTTTTCTTTCCTGAAACAGGAAAAAAACTGTTATTTAAGAGTTTGTGATAACACAAAACACAAAAGGCTATACTAGGTACAAGAGATACCTGAACATTATTATATTCAACAGCTGAGGTCTCCCTTAATTTAATGTAGTTTATATAGTTTAATAAATTCCTTTTTTTAGTATCATTTTTGAGAACACACTGATATCAAAAAACATTTTATAGCATGCAAAAAGACAGAATTTTATCTTGAGTTCTGCTATGCACAAGTGATTAAGTAAAAGGAAAGCATGAAATTCAATAATGGAAGTCAAATTCACAAAGGAGAAGAAAACAGAAAATCACATTTCAAGGTACAAAATACTCGCTTTATAACTATTATCCTTCTTTGACATCTCAGAAATTTGGGGCCCTCACCTTGCAAAAAAAGCAAGTACCATGAAATATGAATTTGGTCAGCAGTCAGCGCAAAGCATTCATGCTTTTTTCACTCTCTGGTCATATACAGGAATTTGCAGATTTAGAAATGAGTCTCGTTTTTCAGCACAAGATGGGAGCACAAACCATCTGAATGGCTATCAGGCAACTCTACAGTCTAGTACAGAACAGAGTCCCCAGATGTCACATGGACCAGAGGGGGTATCTACTGTCACTTCAACAGTACATTCACCTCTTTTTCAGGAGTGTGAGGAAGGGGAACCCGGCTCAATGAAAGTATGTTCAACATATTAGCATAGGAGACAACTTTCTGAACAGAACACCAATAACTCAGGCACTAAGATCAACAATAAATGGGACCTAATGAAACTGAAAAGTTTCTGTAAGACAAAAGATACCGTCAACAAGACAAAACAGCAGCCTATGGAATGGGAAAAGATTTTTACCAAATCCCACCAAATAGAGGGCTAGTATACAAAATATATATATTTTAAAAAAGTCAAGAAACTACATATTAAAAAACCAAATAATCCAAATTTTAAAAAATGGGACACATCTAAACAGAGAATTCTCAATAGAGGAATCTCAAATGGCTGAGAAAAAAAATGTTCAACCTCTTTAGCCACCAGGGAAATGCAAATGAAAACTACTTTAGATTCCATCTTATACTTCTCAGAATGGCTAAGATCAAAAACTCAGTGACAGCTCACGCTGATGAGGATATGGAGCAAGGGAAACACATGTTTCTTCCTCCCCCCTCCCCATTGC